AGCCTGTTCTGCGAAGCGCCGTGAAGTAGCGCTTCCAACGGCCGCCCGCCCTCCTAACGGCTCTCCAACGGCCGCCCCCCCCCTCTCTCCACGGCTCTCCCAGTTTCCTCCTCATACGCCGTCATTGGCAGGGTAGTCTCCGTTGCCTGCCTTGTTTCTACAGCTGATACCTTGCATCATATCTGCAGCTCTTTCCTGTGGCCCATAGGGTCCTCAAATGACCTTTGCTTTCTGCTATGTCTAGTAGACTTTCTGCCCACTGTCACCGCGCGTTTGGCTGGCCCAGCAGAGCCAGCGGCATGGTGATGCGCTGGACGGCCACCTTGTGCCTCTGGGTGAGCCCGCTGCCTGCCTGCAGCCTCCTGGGGCAGATGAGGCTGTGGCCGCCTCAGCCTTTCCATCTGTGGGAGCACTGAGAAGGTCTCACTGCTGTGCCTGGCTACTTGTTTTCACAAAACTTGCAGGAACGCAGGATTACTGAGACCGCTCTTTCCAAAACCGGCAGTGGATTTAGACAGCATTTTAAAGTGCGTTGTGACAAGGATGTCAGAGAGCCAGTTTTATCACAGAAGGCAGATCTATTCCAGAAACCAAACACGTGAGCAGCCAGGAAAGGGCTAAGACTTCTTTCAGCTTCTGGCAAGATGGCTGACCCAGCGCAGGGAAGGAGGAGTGGGACCCAGTGACCCCGAATGAGCTGCAGAGGCTGCTGACGCCTGCCAAAACTCAAGGGTCATTTAAGACAGAAAATGCAGCCTACCTCTACTTTCATGATTTGGCCCACTGGATCATCATCTGCCTTAAAATATGCGGCTATTGATGGGCTTTGCCTTCCTTTCTGTGAGAGTTTCCTAGAGACTGTGAGCAGCTGGGGACTTGCTGCCTTTGGCATGGCTCCTTTATCATTAAAAGAAAACAGAACTTGCTCAAAAACAATCATTGGATGTGCATCATCTTCTCTTAATTCAGCCAATGTTTCACATATGGTAAACTCCTCTTTTATAACAGATTTGTATAAAATTGCAGTTCGAAATAACAGGTTGAGAAGCAGTTACAGCAACTTTCTAAAGACAGAGCTATTCAGATGGACATCAGGTAAGACAAGCAAGAACAGCTTAATAACTTGTCTGTTATTTGTCTGAGGTTGAGCATGTATTCTCAGGGCAACGGTGGACTGGCCTTTTCCCCAGAGGGAAGCATCAAGCCTTTGTCAATGTTGGAAGTACAAATTCCAGGCCAGGTAATCCCTATAAATCAGTAGCTCCACAGAGATTTTGCAATTTACATTGCTTATGATATGGCTTCTTTATTTATCTCAGTCCAGAGACAGAAATGGCAGCTGCATGTCTAGTGTGTATGAGCAAAAGACTCTTTTGATATGTCCCCATATCATTACCTCCCTAAAGCAAATAAGTAAAGCCACACAAAGCAAAAGTGATAGGAACAGTGAAGCCTTAGTTTATTACCACAGCGATTATTATTATTCCCTAATTTGGGGACTCATTTTCACTTCCCTTTGAGCCCAATTGGCAGTTTTCCATTCACTTCAGTTTGGGCAGGATCAAGCTTGTTGATAATTACTGCTATCTGATTGTGCTGTGGAATATAAAAGAAAAAAGAGGCAGCCAAGACACAGAAGAAAAAATAAATAATCACCAGGAAAACATGGGAGAATTCATTTATTCTTTCATGAATAATTACTATTTTCTTTAACTCCTCTAATGTAAGGTGATTTTACAGCAGCTCAGTGAGTTTTCAGCATGTATGCTTGTGTACTGAATTTGAAGTAGCTTTTGTAGTGTATTACCTCCTGGCAGATTTTGAGATTCTCACTAAGTCCCATAATAACCACCTTTACTGTCTTCTGATGCTCCTTTATTACTCCTGCTGCTTTGGCTGATGACTGCAACTCTTAACAAAATTCTGTTCCTAAAAGCATAAACCATCAGTCCATAACTCTGCACTTTCGGGACTTATTGTTGAAGACTGTGCTATTGCTGTCCGGAGACCCTTGCAGACAGCAAATCCAAGTGTGCAGTAGGTGGCGAGCACTCTCAGAACAGCACGTTTTACAAATCCAGACTTCAAGCATTTTCTTTTTCCCCTGAAAAAGGATTTTTTCATGTCCCATGAGTTACTGTCTTTTTTACTGAGCTATGTTGATTTTCTTTTAAGAACATTAATTCTTGGGAGAAGAGCTTCACTTTACTTCAAAAGATATGTTATGGTGGTGTGGACATATGCACACATTGGGGAAAAGAACTCTTAAAACGAGCACAGGAAAGAGAGGAGAGCTATACCTCATCAGCTCCATTGTCTGAGCAGTGTGTCCTGGAGGGAGAACACTCTGATTAATAGATCCTGGCAGGATGAAGTAAAAGTAGATGAAGAACTCTTTGTAAAATGTCTTTCTGTAAGGCTCAATTGTAGACTTCTGAAAACATGTTTTGATCCTGATCTTTAGCTAATCCTTGGAGCAAGAGACATAATTGATTAGAATTGGTAAAGAGGAGTGACAGTAGCCCAAGAAAATAATGAAAACTGCAGCACTTTCCAAGGCATATCAATACTGACGTGTTCTGAAATTTTAATTTTTGTTTCCTGTGATTTCTTTAGTGATAATTGTTTTCATTTCCATAAGACTTCCTTCAGTGATTTTTGAAACAGAGAGCTATCTGAATCATGCAGTTTCCCATGACTCTAGCGTATGTGGGTGAGTATATCTACAGAAATGATAGAAAAACAGAATGTTTTTCCCATGCCACAGACAGAAGACACTTTTCCCAGAACAGGCCAAATTCAGCTTCCAAATAGCCTTGGGCAACCACATTGAGAGGGAGTAGACCCCAGCTGGCTGTATGGCCTGCTGGTTCAGAAGATGCAGGCAACCTTCTCAGCTAATACCTTCTTTGAAGTCCAATTGAGTAAGGTAGTAAGCACACTTAAATTGGATCTTTGCCTGAATCTGAACTCAAAGCTAAATCATTGTGTCTTTTACAAAATAACATACTGCACATAATGTTTCTTTCTCTGCTTGCTCCTTTTAAAGATACTTAGTTCTAGTCAGAGGATTTCACATACAGGATAACTCTTTCTCGGTATGCCACGAGCTGTCTGGTGCAAAAGCTTTACTTAAGCTTTGCTCCCTAGTGAACTGAAGGGCAATTGTTGCACATTTCAGTAAGGTGTATGAAAATATACCATAGCTAGAACCTTCACTTACATAAAGGAAGCTATTCACTAGTAGTTTTCCAAATTTTTGACAAAGTATTTACTTGCTAATAGCCCCATTTAATATTTATAGATTGTTGCCAACTGTTCTGTCGCTATGAGTGATTGGTATTTGACAGAGAAAAAGCTTCCTTGGCCGGGAAAAGAGGAGTGATTTTTAGACTGAGAGATTGCATACACGGCTTTATCAACCGGTAAATCAAATTCTGCTGTCAGACAGAGCTCATCCTAGTTAAATGAATGGGGGAAACTAAATTCTGCTGTGATCATTTCCTATTAAACTTATACCCTTTGCCAGTCAGGGTTTTGCTTGCATACTGATTCCCTTCATTTTGTTTAATGTTCTGTAGATGTCTCTATGCATATGATGCAATTCATATTTTAAAATAATTCTTCTTGTTCCTGCACACGTAGAGAAAAAACACCTATTTGATCTCTGCCAGTGGAAAGGCATCTACTTCATCTACTTACACAGTGTTAACTACCATTTACTGATTATGCATTTTCTTTTCTTCACTAAAGAAATATTCAGTAGAATTCAGTCCTGTGCATGATGAGGCTTGTGGGATAGCAAGATTGGGTGTAGGTATCAGTACCAACAGCTGGCTATAGTTATCCCAGCCTCGTTTTAAGGTACTTGTAAAGGCACGGCTAGAGCTTAAAGGTGACGTACTACTTCCTTAATAGCACAAAGAAAGCAGACTGCTATCCCCTCAGTTCTTGATAAGCCGCATTGTCACCTGTTCAGACATCAATAAACTGGTTTCCATCCACTTCAAGTGTGATTTGCTGCTTAATGAAGTCCTGTTGTGCTTACATGTAAACAAGAATGCAGTATCAGGTGGGTAATAGGGGCCAGGCCAGGATGGTTCGGTTCTGTACAGTGTTCTGCACGTTAGGTGATGTCACAATTGCCATGTCACACTCTATATGAATTCATCCAAATACCATGAGCCTGAGATCCCCTCTACATCTGGCTGTATTGTTTTAATAACCATTTGTCAAGAAGTAAGACTCACGATTTTGATGAATATAGGTGAGAGATTTGAAATATGATTTAACTAATGGACTGGGATAATTAGACTGCAATAAAGTACCAGAAATAGTTATACCATAGGCAATTGCCTTGAAGTTACATCAAAACTGTATTAGCATTGAAAAGCATCATAACAAAATACATTATAGGCACTACAAATAGTTTTATTTCCTTTTGCTCCTTCTGGATACGTTCAGCAGTTTCACCCATTATTACTAGTACTCTGTATTACCAGTTCAGCAATGCAACATATTTGGCATTCGTATCCTTCCCATCCTGGCTGCTTGATGCATCAGTATTTCACTTCGGCAGTTTCACTTATGTTGCCAGCATCAAAGGATGTCATCACAATTTTGTCTCTTGGCTGCAAGTACATTACAGAGGACTGAATGTTTTTTGGTTGCACTCAGTGAGAGCTGGACAGACTTCCAAAAAATATCCCTTAAC